CATTTTATTAGAGAATAGCGGAGAAGTTTTCTTTGCAATTTGTTTAATTTTGGATCTCAATTAGCTAATATTCAGGTTAGAATCACATTTATATAATAAATGATGAGGGCCATGAAGCCACCTTCTTCATAAGAAAAGCATAAAGAAATATTTAAAAATTACTACTATAATTCAATTAATTCTATACACATATTATGTTATTAACATCACAAAATTATCACTGTTGGTGCATGTGAATCTTTAGTTGAGTACCAAAACTAAGGGTTAGAATTGCATACTTCTTTTCCTTTTGTTATGGTAAATGAAGGAGAAAGCTTGAAGCTGTGAGGCTGACTAAGGGATGGACAAACAGTATGACGTTTTAAATCCACACTCAATTGTTCTCCTCCCTCACTCAATGCTTCATCCTTGTAATCCACTTCATCCTGTCCTTCACCCTGCATGGAGAATCTTCCACTCTTTACCTGCGAGAGATCTACTGAAGTTGATTTGTTAAGATCTGAGCAAGGATAAACCAATTGTGGCATGAGCACAGCAGAAAAGATGTGGTGGGCTCCAACTCTTGTTTCATGGTCTGGGTGGGCCATTGCTAAGAGCAACTGGTGAAATAGAGCTTCTGGAAAGGCCTGAAACACATAGGAAATGAGATCTTGCCAACAACATGCATATTTGACAAGATTCTAATCTGCTTTACCAGAAAACATTCTAAAGACAGTTTACTTGCCTTCTTGTGATATGACACATTAGGAATTGAAGAGATTATTTGTGCAACGCGATAGACAGCAGAGATAGTTGTTCTAGCCACAATAGTTGTAGTTGGGATATTCTCCATAACAACAGTAATTGCATCAAGAATTGGTCCCACATCTCCCACCTGTTAATTACAATTTCAATCTTTTATGCAAGTTCTAGGCCATGATATTTGCATTCATATGATAAGTAGAAGATATAACACGAAGAAGCTTCAGTTAAATTATCCTACAATCAGAAACAAATTGAGAGACCAATTTCATTATATGACCCTTTGAAGGATGGAGCCATCTCATCAAATATAATGAGTGGGGACTGGGGATGTGTGCAACACTGAAGCACTGGTTGCTTGCTTTCTCACCTTGGGAAAGATCAGGAGATTAAACTGTCAAAGAGGACAAATGGAGGGGAGAAGTGAAAGGGAGAGGGAGCAGTAATTAGCAGGGGGAGGGGGATTAAAGATCTTCCTGGGGTGTAATGGGGTAGGTGGAGGAGCTATTAGGGTGGAATGGATGACTGGAAATTAGGAATAGTACTAGTTTTCTTCTGTTGTTTGGGGTATTTTTCACTTTTCTGAAGAGAGGTTCCACGTGGGTGCTAGTTTGTGCTTTTCTCTAGGGAGAAGGGGGAATTTCTGTGCTTATGTTAATGTTTTTGTTCCGAGGCATGCTTGTTATTCGGTTTCTCCTGTATATTTGAAGCATTTTGGGCCTTTCCTGGAAATCCACAGACAAGGGTTTTTTTTGTTTTACCTTTCTACCCCTCTTGTCCCTTTTGTTGCTACATCTCGTGCATGTATCTAATCATATTTATATAACCAACATGGGAATCCATGCCAAGGTTTAATAGAAATTTGGCAAGAGGCTATAAAAATGTATCCAATTGGGGATGTAAACAGATCCATTTCAGCATGGATTTGCTTCAACCTGAGCACAACTTCAAGGCACTTGCTACTGGACCTGATTCAACTTAAACTAGAACTACCAAACTCATCCCAAACCTATATGGACTTAAACAATATCATTCTGACCTACCACAATGAACAGTACCCATGTTCTTAGTGAAAGTTACATTTATAGATTCTTCAATGCCACTATGTCATCTGTTACAAAATTTTCACTAATTTTTCATTGCAAATATCTCAACCCAATCCAACTTAGTAAACTAGAACCACTGAAACAACTCCAACCTTATATGGTCTTAACTGATACCATCCTGACCCACCTAATGAATACTGCCCATGTTCTTAGAGTAGGTGATATCACAGATTCTTCAACATTACTATTTACCTGTTACAAAAATTTTACTAACTTCATTAATTATTTTATGTCATCTGTTGTGTATTCATGAAAGTTCTGTGAAAAACATAGTTTCAAGTTTCATTTATAGAAAAAAAATAGTTTCTGTCAGTGCAGTTTGAATAAGAGAATGAATATTGTGGTGTGTCAGTTGAACAACCACACCAAGAGAAAAGATATTTATATTAAAGTGAAATAAAAGGACAATTCTATCCTTCTGTTGCAAGAAGTATAAGTGCATAAGAAAAGAATAAAAGAATATGTACAACAAGAAAAGTAAAATTACAACTTTAACCTTCCCAGTCTCTACACTTCCCCTCAAAGTGATGCAAGGGAACTGGCATCAATTAGCCAATAAGAAAAGTATGCTTAGCCCTTGTCATAGCTTTTGTGAAGATATCTACCAATTGAAGGTTAGAGGAAACATGAGTGTTGAGAATGGCTAGACAGGGGTGTTTTTGGTTTTTTCTCCTTTCTTATACTTTCTCAGTATTTGGGCACCCTTCTTGTAATTATTATTTTCTCAGACTATAATGTACTCTTTTGAGGGTGTGAACAATGAAAAACACACACCTCGACACTTGCTCTCTTCTTCCCCTTCTTCTTCTTCTTCTCTTCTCTTCTTCCTCTCTCTTGAAACCCTAGTTTCTACAACTTGGTATCAGAGCGGGTAGAAGCATCTGGGAGTTGTTCTCTGCTGATCTCCTACCCAGAGGCGAACTGCTGATGTCAGACCGCCGCCAGATGATGTCAACAATCCGTACAGGTACCGGTGGTAGTCTATGAAACCAGCACAGTTTGATTCGCCCTGATTTTAGAAAAATTTTGGTATGACACTTGTCATCATATGAAGCTTCTATGATTTTCGGTGGATGTTTTAAGGAAAAAATCGCAGAAATTCCAGATCTGATGTCGAGCCATGTACAGCAGGTTTAATGATATTTTTCTGCTGTAAAACCTAGACCATTCAGGTCATTTTTCAATTTGGGATTGACGAGAAGTGGTCCCGTAATTTTCTGAGCACTGTGTGATTTTTGGGAGATATTTTTCTCCTTCTATTTTGCCACCAACCTAGTTTTTTCAAGCTTCCATTGGTTCTTAACCGTGTGGTAACTTGGTTTTTGGATCTGGAACCTCAGTTAAAGTGTTGGGGGTCCTTTTTGGTTGGTGAAAAGGTGTCTTGCTAGAATATGGAATCATCGAAGGATTTTCAGATGGTTCCCAGTGTGCTCCCGGGAACTGTAGATATTTCCAGTGGTATGATAACTACTGTTAAACTGGATGGAACTAATTTTTTAGAGTGTTCTCAGTCTGCTAAACTTACCATTACTAAGAAGGGTAAACTGGGATTCATCACAGGAAGGGAAGTGAAGCCGAGTCCTGAAGACCCGAAATTTTCAAGGTGGGAACAGAACAACTCCCTTGTTATGTCATGGTTGATTTGCTCAATGCAACCTCATATTGCCCGAAATTACATGTTTCTTCCATCTGCTAAGGATATTTGGGATAGGGTGGTTGCTACTTATTCCCAAGTTAACAATACTGCTAGAGTGTATCAGCTACGGAGGGAAGCTTGCAGTGCGTCAAGGGGAGAGATCTGTTGCTATGTATTTCTCTTCTCTACAGTCTATTTGGGAAGAAATGGATCACTTGAAATCTCTAGTTTGGAAGGACCCTGAAGATGGTGAGCAGTATCGGAAGTACATAGAGGAGAATAGAGTCTTTGATTTTTTGGCAGGCTTAAACCCAGAGTTTGATTTCACCAGGCAATGCATTCTTAGTGCAGGCGTTGTCTCTCTTACTATTGCTTACTCTCTTGTACAAGGGGAAGAAAGTCGAAGAACCGCCATGATGCAATCCTCTATGAGTGATCATTCTACCTTTATGTCATCACAACCCAAGCAAAATACTAGCAAACATCTCATTGCAGAGAAGGTCGATGATGTTATTTGTGAGTACTGCAAGAAGCCAAGACACACTAAAGAAAGGTGTTGGAAGCTCAATCCTCATCCAAAGCCGAAGAAGTACAAAATCGGGAAGAAGGGCAATGCTCACTTGGCTACAGTCGGTAATGATGCTCAGCCCTCGGATATGCTTAACTCCTCTGGTGTGATGGACAAACTCAGGAATATATTGTTGCAGCTAAAGAAGGGTGGTACATCCTCCTCATCTAGTTCTGGACTTAGTAATCTATCTAGTTCATATACTAAGACAGGTACTGCACTTGCTTGTTCCACCTCCTTTAGCCCATTGATTGTAGACTCTGGGGCCAGTGCCCATATAACTAGTATGCCTTCAGGACCTGAGCATGGGGAAGACAATTGGAAGTGGGCATGAAGTGGATGGAGTCTACCTCCTGGATGGACCTTCAGAGCAGGGATTGTTAAGCCAGACTGAGTCTTGTTCCAATGAGAAAATGAGTCTTGAAATTATGGCATTGTCGCCTTGGTCATATGTCTGTCAATTCTGTCAAGTTTTTGTTTCCAAACTTATTTGATTTTGTGTCCAAATTGAATTTTGAATGTGGAGTTTTCCATTTATACAAACAATGTAGAAAAACATATTTTGCAAGCAGTAAAAGAAGTAATGTTGCTTTCCACTTGATCCATACTGATGTCTGGAGCCCATATGCTGCCCCTTGTATGCGGGGTACAGATATTTCATTCTCTTCATTGATGACTACAGTCGGTATACGTGGCTTTATTTGATGAAAAGTAGAGATGAAGTTCCTATGATTGTTCAAAACTTCATGAATATGGTCGAGACACAATTTGATAAAAGACTTAAGATAATAAGATCTGACAATGCCAAGGAATACTTTGAACATCACTTGCATAGATTTCTTGAAGACAGGGGCACTATTCACCAAAGTTCATGTAGTCCTACTCCACAACAAAATGGGGTGGCTGAAAGAAAAAATAGGCATGTGGTTGAAGTTGTTCGAGGCTTATTGTTCCAAACTCATGTTCCGACTCATTTCTGGGGTGATGCTGTTGAGACAGTTGTATATCTCATTAACAGACTCCCGTTAAGGGTCCTTAACCTTCATTCTCCTCATCAACTACTCTTCCCTGATGAACCTCCTTTTAATCTACCCCTTAAGGTCTTTGGTTGTGTTTGTTTTGTTCATGATATGAGTCCTTCCCGGCGCAAGTTTGATCCTAAATCAGTTAAGTGTGTATTCCTTGGTTACTCTCCAGTCCAGAAAGGCTATAGATGCTTTCATGCTCTCTTTGGCAAGAGATATGTCTCTAAGGGTGTTACCTTTTTGGAATCCTCTTCCTTTTTCCAGTCACCCCGTCCTTCTCTTCCTGGGGAGAATGCAAGTGAAGATCGGACTCCCTTCTGCCTTCCTATTCCTACCTCTATTCCTTCCTCTCTTCCTACCTCTATTCCTTCTCCTCCTCCTCCTCCTCCTCCTGTGTAGTGACCTCGGTCCTAGCAGCAGTTTTTCATCAAGCACAGTAAGAGGGTGGCTCCTGAAGCAGAATGCCCATCACAACCTAATTCCTCGGACTCAGGTAATCTTGAACCTCCTGGCAATCCTATTATTGATTCTAACCTTAATCTTCCTATTGTCATTTGAAAAGGGAAGAAGACATGTAGAAAGTATCCTATCGCTAACTATGTGATAGGATAGTTAGTGATAGAAAATATCCTATCACAATTTGATGCTCTTTCAAATTCCTATTGTGCTTATATTTTTGTTATCTCTTCTGTTTCCATCCCTCGCAGTGTTACAAAGGCAATGCAGTGCCCCCGCGGGCCGCCTACGGGCCGAGCTGTGTCGGCCTGGCACGGCCCACTTTACACCTCTAGGAGCACCCAAACTTTCATTCTTAACTATCCAATGTATTTTTTTTCTTCATAGTGAAATAGCCTCCTACTTTCTTGCACTGCAATTTCCTTTTCACTTTAAAAGATGGTTATCAAAGAAGATTAACATAATTCTTGAATTATGACCTGTCCAAATGGTGGCACATGGACTGAATGATCAGAATGCACTTGTTAGGATGGATCATGCATGTAAAACAGAATAAAGAACGAAAACACAGAAAAAGTATAGCGTAAGAAATTCTAAACCTTTTTTGAGAGCTCTATCAGGCATTCTTCTAGTGCAGAACAAAAAGCAGTGTTCCACTTATTTGTTTCATCCCCAGGGTTTGATGCTTCAGATGAACATTGCATGCATTTTCGTAAATGTTTTATCAGGTCAGTTATTGCACCAATAATTGCAACTGAGGACTGCATCTTTACATGTTGTGCAAGATAAATGATGACATCAACAATTTCAATCTGCATACTAGGCTTTCTGATGACATTTTTGTGATCCAAGTGTTTCACCAAGATAGATAACAAAAGATGGGTGTTCTGTCCTGTATGTTAAGGACCAAAATCAGTAAAGGTAACAATGAGAACTTAGACAAGCTAGTTAATTATGATACAATAATATTAATATGTTACCCTTTGAATTTCGAGCTCAAAAGTTACCTGACTTTTCCATCAAAGATTGCAAATCTGATAAAACAGAACAGGCAAACCCTTTCTTTGGGGACCAATTATTCCCAGTATCAAAATTGCGGAAAAGGGGATCAAGCACACGCCGCACTGTAGTTGCCTCCTTTGCTAGTCCAGCCATATTGTGCAAGCAAACCCTTGACCAATAAGTGGGGCTTTTGGAAACATCTCTGTTAAATTAACAAATGAAACAAAAGGGCAATTTAACACAAATGGCAGATATTATTTGAAAATGAGTTAATAGAAACCATAATTAGTGATAAACGAGTTTTACACTGTGGGATCCAATTCAGGTTTGGTATTCATGACATCTGGCAATCGAGGAACCTTCTTACTGATATCTGGGAAAGATGAACAGTGATCTTGTGCTTTGAGAACTTCCTGAACCCACTGATCTTGGAGCTGAGAGTTCTCTAAATGTTGCTTGCTATTTTCTGAGTTTATTTGGAGCACCATGTAATTATCCAAAACCACTGAAATAATCTGTACAAGTGTAAAACGAAAGAAGCATGGTTTTTTAGTATTCTATAATCCATAATCCATGAATATAAAACCTCATACCGTATATCTAGTATAATGAAGACAGGAACTTCTGAAAACAACTAACAATTGAAGTGACCAGTTAACAAATATCGTAAACATGGTCCAGCAGAATTAGTTGATGAGCAGTGAGTAGTCGATCTAGACTACAATCAGTCTTGAAGTAAAAAAGAAAAAAAGGATGAAAATTTGAAGAGAATAAGAGGAGAGGAAGAGAAGAAGTACACGAAGAGAGTTTCAGAAAAGAGAGAGAGAAGGTCATAATTTCTGCCGACCCTCTCATAGTATTTATATAACTATTGGCTAACTGTAAAAGGGCTGAATTGTCCTTATTGCTTACATGGCAAATAGAATAAGAAATAACTAATAATAAGCTGAAATAACTACCAACTAACACTGACATATCTAACAGAAATATTGCTGCCATACGAACACTGTGGGGACCACATCAGTGTTCTCTACACTCTCCCTCAAGTTGGGAATAGATATTTGTCATTCCCAACTTGCATAGATCTGCCTCTAACTT